TATGAATCACACTCAGGAGGAGACAGTAAAACCTCCTAATGATGAGAAAGAAAAGGTCTGGTGTGCAAAGCATTGCTGTTTCCCCACAGGGCACAGACAGTGAGAGAGACAATCCAAATCTTTAGGCTGTCTTGACTCTGGTAGAGAAAAATGTTGTGGTGGCTCATTACTTGGATGTAGTCAGCAGTGGGAAAACCCCCGGAGACTGATTATTATTACAAGGAATTAAATATTTACCCTCAACCTCAGACTCGTGCTAAATCATGAATTGTGCGTCTGTAATTCTTCGCGAGTAGATCAACTCCTTGGATGAGACTGCGTATGATAGTGCTCAGTGAATGACAAATTATAACTCACTGATTAAAATTAAAATTTAAGTTGTCTTTTAACAGAGTTGTCATTTGATTAGACGGATTGTACTTATTGCACATGTCTGTACTGCTGGAACACAAGAATTTCCCCTCGGGATGAATAAAGTATGTCTATCTATCTATCACATCTTAAGAAATGAAAGCTCTTGTCCTTGCTAAAGATTACTGCTTCCTTTAGCTATTATAGACAGTGCTACTTTAAAAAAGTTTACATAAGACATGCAAGACGTTGGTAACTGTTGATATCCTGCCTTTAAGATAAAAAGCCCTTTGTACATAATTACTCTCAGATAGCATGTTATCCAAATGCAGCACAACTAAAACAGAGATGCAGCACTTTTCTTTGAAAAGGACAATCACGGAGAATAAAGGGCTGTTTGTCTGTCCAACACAATGGTGCAGCTTTCAGCTAAATGTTGCCATTGCCTTTTCCCAAGTCACTTACAAGCTCCACGTGTTAACAGGAAACAACAAATAATATACACGAGAAGATTTCATTATGTTCCAGGTCAACGTTTGAATACTTTCGGTATTTTACGCAGATGCTGCAGAATATGCACATTGTATTTGAGTTAAATGCGCATCTCTCACACTGTTATGTGACACAGACTCACGTTTTGGAATGGCATGCAAAATAAGATCCCCGTAGTACTTTGGTCTCTGTGTCAACAGTAAAATGATAACCTCAGGGGAAGCTGCAAGAATGCGCACACTACATACCACATTCATCCAGATAGAGCAGCCTCTACGATAAGCAAATCAATGTTCACCAATCTCCCAGAGCAACAGAGACAGTCATCCCCTGCCCCAGATATATTTTTCAATTTCCAGGTATTGTTTAACGTTGTAACTGCTGACCCCCTTTCACGTATAGCGCTTCCACGGAATGCGCAATTACGCAAGACGGATGGACTTACCGCCCTGACCAGCAAATCCCATGCGTTTGTATTGATATACTAAGATAGTTTCACAAGTAACTGGTTGACTTACAAAGATGCTGTCGAAAGTGCCATCATAAAATAACACTGGCGTCTGCAGTTCAAGTCGTTGCGTCTGGTCAGTCCCCGGCTCCAGTAACTGGTCCCTTGCGCTCGGACCGTACGGGAACAGATCTCCCCTCGTTATGCTCTGCGCCAAGGCCACGAATCCGAGAAAACTCGTACATATGAGCCATCCTCGCTCCTGCCAACCCATTGTTCCGTGTTTTCAGCTTCGGGCGAGCGGTCCTGCTGCTTGTCCGGCCCAGGTTACAGGAGAGTGACGCACTGGATCCAGCGAGGAAAGTTCAGTCAGAGTTTGAGAGATGTGGGGCGGAGTTGAGAGGGGGCGCTGAGAAATGCTTTCGAAAACCACCAGAGGAGAGAGGAATAAGAGGTGGGCTTCACTTAGCTTCTCTTCTCCTGTTTGTCCTAAAACAATTCTCTGAACTGATGTGGTTTTGACTTAAGACTGACATGCTTGGGGTCAATTTGGCACAAGACATCTAAAGGGATTGTGTTTGGCCCACTTTGCAAAGCAAAAACACAGCCTGCCAGGAGTTATCAGGGATAGCAGAGGACAAAAGTAGAAGCACAGAAGTCAATTTCATATCCCTTGATTTAAATTCTTCAAGCTCATTGTTGCCAATACAGTAGAAAGCAGCCAGTTTTGTTTGGATGATAATACAGGGGCCACAGTGTGTGAGGTCCGAGGGCCTTTAGGGGGACAACACTGGAGCTGTATTGGCCGGTTTGGATACAGGCCAAGGGGCCATCAGAGCATAGACATCACAGCATGGACCAGTTACCGGCAACAGAGCCCCATGGCCGGTATGATCGAAACATTAAAAGGACAATATCACAGAGCACTGTACCATACTCTAATCATTTGAGGCATGCCGCTGTGGCTATCAGACTCCTCTCCAGCTGGGATAATGAGGGGCATGCTGGTTATATGCTTCATTTTGGAGCTGTTTGTGCCCCACTAATGGATGGTCAGTCACCCGTCCAACATTTTGGTTCAGTTATCAACTGTTGGTCACTTTTCCATGACATTTTAATATGGGTTTTCATGGTCCCCATGAAACAAAACGATTTATGTTGACCTCTGGCCCTTTGGGTAATGCTTTCAGCCTTAAATGTTTTCTTGACCAATACTTCGGTCCATAATAGTGTATTTAGAACATTTTAATAATGATAATATCTTTAGCACTTATCTAAACAAGATTACAAATTGCTTCACAAAATACAAGGGAATAAAAATAAATAAACAAGAAATAAAAGGTAAGAAACATTATAGAATATAGTTGTGATAAAAAGTATCATGAAAAATATTTAATTCATTAACATCACATTAGCATCTGCGTTACAAATCAGAATCTGTTTTGAGCAGTGATTTAAAGACAGGTAATGTGTTGGCGAGCCTAATCCCATCCGGCAAAGATATCCAGAGCCTCTGGGCCCTGACGGAGAAAGAAGAAATTAAAAATGAAATCAGTTACCTTTAAATTAGGGCCCTGACTATTTCCCATATCAATTAGTAGGCTAAGATTTAACTCCACCAGTGAAACTAAACTCAAAATGTATTATGGATACTGAACTAAGAGATCTTAACATTGATGAGTGAGAGAGGAAGTGGAAAAGGTTTTGGAACACAACAATAACGTACTTCAGGCCAGACATTGGACCAGATACAGAGCTAAATCTATCTATCCCAACAGTGTCACCCAGCAGTGGCCCCTACTGAGTATTGGCCCTGGGGTGGTAGCACCCTCTGCCCCTGCAATCACCTGTGATGAGATGACATCCTTCCTAGCCCGGTGTACCTAATAAACTGCCAACTTAGTGTACGTTTGTAGTATTGGTTTTGTTTTGTTGTGTTGTTATATATGTAAAACTGTGCATCTGACAAATCTTCAAGGGCTGCACACTTTGTAACTGTGTTTTGTGCTATAAGAACAACATTGATTAAAATAGTAGTAGTAATATTGCTAGCAGTAATTAATTAAGATTTAATTATAGAATTGTTTGATGGTGTTGATCAGATGGTCACTGACAGGAAACCAAATGTAGCCACTTTAGAAGAGAAGTAATGTGGTTTCTTTAGGCCTATTTGGTCCTGGTCAGACTGCAGAGATGTGAATCAGCTGTAACTGTCACTGACATCTCAGTGTTGTTCCTCACCCTGTAAGGCCACAGTTTATCATCCTCTGATGGCTGTTTCCACTGTGCCTCTACACACTGACATGGATTTAAAGTGCTACATTCTGGTCCTTGTGCACATTGTGGTTTCTGAAAATAGTCTCCACAAAACATTTACTGGATGGACATAAACTAATAAGTTCATTTATACCATAGATGCATAGGAACTTTTCTACGTTATCATTTGACAAAATATGTTGTTTTAATTGCACAGAAAAAATCAAGTGTACCTAATAAACTGCCAACTGAGTGTATGTTTGTTGTTTGCACTTTTGTGTTGTTGTATATGTGGAACTGTGCATCTGACAAATCGTCAAGGGCTGCACACTTTGTAATTTGAGGAAATACAAGGGCGCCATCTGCTGGACGCGTTGCGCAAAGAAAATAGCTGATCTCTGACGTCATCAACATGCGACGCGGCGTGCAGGACTGTGAAGGACGCAGATGAGAGGCTGGTGATGAACAAGTGAAATCTAAAGGTTGGTTTTCATGTCACTGTTAGTTTGGTTTGTACAGAAGAGACACGTTAGTTCACTGAACCAGAAAAGTGAAGGCAGGTCTGGTTCTTCCACCGGATTAACTCGGTGCACACAAGCTAAGCTAACTGTGGCTGTGATCTGCAGAGGAACAGAAACACAACCACACACYGATGAATGTGGAGCAGTCAATGTGTAGAAAAGACAAACGTGGAGGTTCATTTGAAGAGGAAGTGAATCTGCTCTGTTCTCACAGGAGGACGTTGTCATGGCGCTGTCGTGTCTCACTCGAGCTCTGC